GCAGAAGCCAGCGGAAGGCCAGCGGACGCCGGCGGAAATAAACGATGCGCCCCCAATACATGGCAACCTTTTGGTGTGCAACCTTTTGGCAACCATGGAAGTAAACGATGAGCCCTCCACACACATATATATATATGTATGTATATATATATATATATATATATATATATATATATGTTTTTTTAGATATGCACACACACGTATACATACTTACATCAATTTATCCATACATCCATCCATCCAGACATACATACATGTATATCTTCACAAGACTGTATTGGCGCTTCACGCCATGCGTCTTGGTCCTCCATGCGATTCGTTTCGGCTCTTGAACTGTCGCCGGCGTCGCCAGTCTCACTTCCCCCACGAGCGTTGCTCTCTTCTTCGTAACAGCGAGCGAACAGAATATTGAAGAATTTGATGGCCCAGTGTTGAGCCCTGAACCTTCGCGGTTTGCTTGGCGAAGTGTCTTTCCGAGCAGCCGCCGCCCAGGAGGACGGCCTCCGAAGGCCGAGAATAATGCAATGAACCTGCGGGGGTCGATCGTGGAAAATCCTCCCCTCCCCTCCTTCTCATCCTCCTCTTTTTCCCCTTCTCCTTTTCTTCCACGGCGGAGGTCGCGCCCCGCTGCCTCGTCGGTGGCTGGGGGCGGAGGGAGGGAGGCGCGGGGCTGGGAAATCTGGATCGATGACAGAGCGAGGAGGGAGAAGAATGGCAGGGGGGGGCAGGGCGGAGTCGCAACGGGCCCGGTGCAGGGCCGGCCGTCGACCACATTGACATGCTGGGGGGAGCAGTGTGCGGGGATGGGGCGACAGACGTGATGGTCGAGCACCGGCTTCGCAAAGCGACGGGGGCCTCTGGAAGCACGCACAGGTTCTCCTAGGCAAGCATCTTGCTCTACGTTACGGGATGAAGGCATACGTGCGCAAGATCAGGCCGGTTGCATTATTCATTGCAGGCTGTTGGACATGCGCCATGAGTACATTCCTCCAGTCGAAATCATGGTATAATATGTTTCTCTGCAGGATGTTGCGTCGAGGGCGGGCGAGACGTTTGTAGCGCAGCAACGGCGCTGCAGCCGCATCGCCCAGCAAGCCTCGCTGGGCACTTCGTCAGACACGTTGCCAACAGCGGGGATGCGGAGCCAGTGGCGCATGGCGGGGGGGATGCAGCATCGCCAGTTCGCCAGTCGTCCAAACCGCCGCTTCGGCTAACGCCCAAGGTACTGCAATGGATGAGCATACTCCGGTGGCAGGGGTGTCAGGCGGTGAGTCCGCGAGGCCCGAAACGTATGCGGCAGGCTGGAGTGTGTCATGTTTGACCAGGGCGCGCATCGGCTCGATGGGAAGATGTATTTGTGAAGCATGTGGTGGTGGACTGGTTGATGGAGGCCGCCGAGCCGACGCGGTCAGGCAAATACGACGCGTTCAGGAACTTCGTATACCAGGGCTACAGCATGAACGTTCCAGAGAGCTGCAGGTGAGCTTCGCTGAAAGCTGCCCCACCGACCAATGCGCGCGAGAGTCGACCCATTTCCGGATTTGCTGACTGGGATGGTAACTGAGCTGCGCAGACACGCAGGAGGACCTTGGAGCATTTTCACAAGCGATTCCATGCTCATCTACAAGTGGCTCAACGGCTGATGGAAGACAGAGTGCGCGCAGTATCTGGAGCTGATGAAGATTTTACCAAGCACTCGTCACCAATGGATTCACCTGGATTTTTGCCTTCTTCATCTCTGGGCCATACTTTCTGTCTGTATCTTTACTACGCGCATAGTTCTGCGGCGGACAAAGCAGCGAATCGCCATGAGTATTTTTCCCGGCAGCATACTGGTATCCAGGGACGTGCCCGTCTGAAACTCCATTTCGATTGGCGCCGTCGGGACGAGGGGCGCACATGTGTTGGAGTGGTTCTGTGCGGCGCGCGCAAGGGAGAGAGGGCGTACGATCTCGTGCGCGAGACGACGGTGCCCCTGACGATGACGAGTGCTCGCCGAGCTGAGTTAGCAGCGCTGGCGGCTGGAGTCGTCTCATTCGAACATCTACTGAAACCCCGAATCATCTTACCTGCAATGCACTCTGGTCTTTCGTGGGGGCCGACCTCCGCAAACTGCGGAAGGCGCCCGGGGAGCTGTTGCCAGGCGGGGAGGCATGAGGCGGACGGGCGGGGAGCGACGGAGACAGCAAACCGAAACTCCCGAGCGGTTCGCTTAGCGGGGGTGCGAAAAGGAAGGAAGGACGGAACGGCGGAGGATGAGAGGGGGTAGGAAAAGTAGGGTGCTCATTTTGTCTGGTGGTGCACGGGCCCCTTCGCACCGTCCCCCACAATGTGGCGCGCAATCTCGGGCCTTTCTGGGGTCGTTTTGGGCGTGTGGGGTGGCTGGGGCTCTGCGGGGGCCTTGGGGCTATCTTGGGCCCTCATGGGGGCGTCTTCTGAGCTTTGAGGGGCTCCTTGGGCCTCTCTCCGTCTTCCAGGGCGTCTCTCAGAACGTCGTGGGGCCCTCTTGGGCCATCGTGGGGCCTCTTGGGGGCCTCGTCGGCCGTTTTGGGGCGATCTCGGGAACCTTCTGGGCCGTCTCGAACGCGGCGAGGTCGAAGTTACGAAAGTGCCAAACGTGTGCGTTCCCCAAGGGAATGGGGCGATATTAGTTTATTGGGGGTCGTTTTCGCAGCTTTTGGGGCGTTTTGGGCCATCTTGAGGTTATGTGGGTCACCCATGGAGCGCAATTGTGCTGTCTTGGAGCTTTTCGGGGGCTCTTCGGTGACCCTTCTGATCGCCTTGGGTTTGCAGGCGAGGCCCCGAAAGGCGCTCTGGGACCTGGTGCCGCTTCATTGGGCGTCCGGAGAGCCGCCCCCCAGGGGTCTGGTTTTGGGGCGGTGGGGGTCGGGTTTCCCCCCATTGGTTTGTAATATTATTTGAGATGGTATGAATATGTATATGTTTATATATAGATGTGTGTGCATAAACATATGTATATATGTATATGCATTTGTATATGTATAGGTATATGTGTATGCATGCATGTATGTATGTATGTGTAAGCATGTACGTATGGATGTGTATGTATGTATGTATGTATGTATGTATGTATGTGTATGTATGTATATATATATATTGATATATGCTAGGGACGGTTCCCAAGATTTGTGTCTCATTGCCGAAAATGAAGCGACAAAATTATAATCCTCGACAAAATGAATCCTTCTGTAACCCTTTACAAAAAGGAATCGTTTCGACCCCCTCCGCAAAACAAAAACCTTGTTTGTGATCCACTACATAGGAAGTATTCCTGTAGTGATCCTGACCAACAGCGATTCTTTCGTAACCAGCTACAGAACGAATCTTTCTATACTCCCCCACGTAAAACCCTTGTGTAATCTCAGGGTCCACAGGAAAACCACTTCTTGTTATAACGCCTTGCAAAACGATTCTTTGTATTGAGAATTACAATGGCATTGTTTGCTGCGAATGAAAAGAGGGCTTCTTCTTATGGCGGTGGAAGATACGGTTTTTCTTGTCGAAGATCACAGCCCGGTTCGTTTTGTTGTTGATTATGATTAGATTCGTTTTGTGGAGGGTTGCAATAATATTCTTTTTTGTTGGAGGATTTCAGACGGATTTTTTTTAGGGGGTCGCGCTATGAGTCCTTTT